AAATTAAGTCAAGATCAGGTAGAATAGCCCTATATCCCCCAAGGAAATTGAAGCAGTCATAAACAGTCTCCCCTCCAAAAAAAAAAAGCCCTGGACCAAATGGTTTCAGCATTGAATTCTACCAGACCTTCTAAGAAGTACTAACACCAATACTCCTCAAACTATTCCACAAAATAGAAACAGAAAGAACATTACCAAACTCATTCTATGAAGCCACAACCACCTTGATACTTAAACCACACAAAGACCCAACAAATAAAGAGAACCTCAGACCTATCTCTCCAATGAACATTGATGCAAAAATACTCAATAAAATACTGGCAAACTGAATCCAAGAACACATAAAAGATATACACCATAACCATGTAGGCTTCATCCCAGGCATGCAAGGGTGGTTCAACATACGGAAATCAATCAATGTGATCCACTACATAAACAAACTGAAGGAGAAAAACCACATGATCATCTCCTTAGATGCCAAAAAAGCATTTGACAAAATCTAACACCCATTCATGTTTAAAGTCTTGGAGAGATCAGGGATACAAGGCACATACCTACACAGAGTAAAGGCAATATACAGCAAGCCTATAGCCAATATCAAACTCAATGGAGAGAAACTCAAACCAATCCCACTGAAATCAGGGAAAAGGCAAGGCTGCACACTCTCTCCATATCTCTACAATTTAGTACTTGAGGTCCTAGCTAGAGCAATAAGAGAACTAAAGGAGATCAAGGGAATACAAATTGGAACAGAAAAGGTCAAAGTTTCACTATTCACAGATGATATGATAGTATACATGAGCGACCCCAAAAATTCAACCAGAGAACTCCTTCAGCTGATAAACACCTTCAGCAAAGTGGCTTGATACAATATTAACTCAAAAAAAATCAGAAGCCCTCCTGTATACCAAAGACAAAAAGGGCTGAGAAAGAAATTAAGGAAACAACACCCTTCACAATAGCCACTAATAACATAAAGTACCTTGGTGTGACTCTAACCAAGCAAGTGAAAGACCTGTTTGAGAAAAACTTCAAGTCTCAGAAGAAAGAAATTGAAGAAGATATCAGAAGATGGAAAGATCTCCTGTGCTCATGGATTGGTAGGATTAACATAGTAAAAATGGCTATTCTGCCAAAAGCAATCCACAGATTCAGTGCAATTCCCATCAAAACACCAACACATTTCTTTATAGACCTTTAAAGAAAAATTATCAACTTCATTTGGAGAAACAAAAAACCCAAAATTTCCAAAACAATCCTGTACAACAACAGATCGTCTGGAGGTATCTCCATCCCTAATCTCAAGCTTTATTACAGAGCAATAGTAATAAAAATGGCATGGTATTGGCATAGAAACAGAATAGTGGATCACTGTAACTGAATAGAAGACCCAGAAATAAACCCACACACCTATGAATACTCGATTTTTGACAAAGAAGCCGAAACCATTTACTGGAAAAAAGACTGCATCTTCAACAAATGATGCTGGTCCAACTGGATGTCTACATGCAGAAAAATGAAAATAGATCCATATTTATCACCATGCACAAAACTAAAGTCCAAGTGGATCAAAGACCTCAACATAAAACCGACAAACTAAATCTCTTAGAAGTAAAATTGGAAAAGAGCCTAGAACTCATTGGCACAGGTGACAACTTCCTGAACAGAACACCAACAACACAGGCTCTAAGAGCAACAATCAATAAATGTGACCTCATGAAACTGAAAAGCTTCTGTAAAGCAAAAGATACTATTGTCAGAACAAAACGACAGCCTACAGACTGGGAAAGTATCTTAACTAACCCTATATCTGACAGAGGGCTGATATCCAGAATATATAAAGAACTAAAGAAGTTAAAAAGCAACAAATCAAACAATCCGATTAAAAAATGGGGTATGGAGCTAAACAGAGAATTCTCAGTAGAGGAATACAGAATGGCAGAGAAACACTTAAAGAAATGCTCAACGTCCTTAGTCATCAGAGAGATGCAAATCAAAACGACCCTGAGATTTCACCTGACACCCATCAGAATGGCTAAAATCAAAAACTCAAGTGACAACACATGCTGGAGAGGTTGTGGAGAAAGGGGAACCCTCCTCCACTGCTGGCGGGAATGCAAACTTGTACAACCACTTTGGAAATCAATCTGGTGCTTTCTCAGACAATTAGCAATAGTGCTTCCTCAAGATCCAGCTATACCACTCCTAGGCATATATCCAAAAGATGCTCAAGTACACAACAAGGACATTTGCTCAACCATGTTTGTAGCAGCTTTATTCATAATAGACAGAATCTGGAAACAATCCTGATGTCCCTCAGTTGAGGAATGGATTCAGAAATTGTGGTATTTTTACACAATGGAATACTACTCAGCAATTAAAAACAAGGAAATCATGAAATTTGCAGGCAAATGGTGGGACCTAGAATGATCATCCTCAGTGAGGTATCCCAAAAGCTGAAAGACACACATAGTATATACTCACTTATACAGACCTATAAGATAGGATAAACGTACTGAAATCTATACACCTAACGAAGATAAACAAGAAAGAGGACCCAGGATAAGATGGTCAATCCTGACTTAGAAAGACAAATGGGATGGACATTGGATGTAGAAGAAAACAAGTAACAGGACAGGAGCCTACTGCACAGGGCCTCTGAAAGACTCTACCTAACAGTGTATTATCAAAGCAAATACTAAGACTCATAACCAAACCTTTGGCAGAGTGCAGGGAAGTATATGAAAGAAGGGTGAGTTAATATGACCTGGAGACGAGAGGAGCTCCACAAGGACCAAATATATCTGGGCACAGGGGTCTTTTATGAGACTGTTTCTCCAACCAAGGACCATGTATGGATATAACCTTGAACCTCTGCTCGGATGTAGCCCATGGTAGCTCAGTATCCAAGTGGGTACCCTAGTAAGGGGAACAGGTACTATTTCTGACATGAACTCAATGACAGGTTCTTTGACCCCCCCTCCCGAGGGAGGAGCAGTCCTGCTAGGCCACAGAGGAGGTCTTTGTAGTCAGTCCTGAAGATACTTGATAAACCAGGGTCAGATAAAAGGGGAGGAGGTCCTTCCCTATCAGTGGACTTGGAAAGGGACAGGGAGGAGATGAAGGAGGGAGGGTGGGATTGGGATGGAATGAGGGAGTGGGATACAGCTGGGATACAAAGTTAATAAACTGTAACTAATATTAAAAAATAAAAATAAAAAAGTCTGAGATTAGAGGGCTGGGGAGATGGCTTGGTCAGTAAAGTGCCTGCTATGCAAGCATGAAGACCTGGCTTTAACCCAGAACCACGTTTAAAAAAGAAAAGTCATCCTGGAATTATGGAGCATGCTTGTAATCCCAGAAAGGCACAGATAGGCTGATCACTAGAGCTTGCTGGCCTAGTGGAATAGACAAACTTCAGGTGAAAGTGAGAGATGCTATTTCAATAAACAAGGAAGAAAGTAATTGAAAAACATCTGAGGATGACCCCTGACCTCCTCATATGCATAGGTACCACCCCTCCCCCAGTGAAGCTGCATACACACAAGAACACACCCATACTCATGAGTTGAGTTCACAGGGAAGGAAAATGGCTTCAGATCATTTAGTATCACTCCTACTGATTGGGCATAAGTTTAATGCTCCATTCATAGGCTTTAGAAATGTAAGGACATTCCAAGTTGCTGTACCTGCCTCCTTCCTACCTATGGACTTGGATACTAGTCATCCAGGCTGGGATGTAGGTCTGGGCCTATTTCAGTGTCCCAGAGTAGACTGCCCTTCAACTTAACACTTTGTAATGAGGTGAGACTTACCAGCCTCACCCCACTGGCAGGGTCTCCTCCAGTACTGGCCACATTTGCTGATTTGTTTGACTCTATCCTCCTCTCTCCCAGTAGACTCATGTTGTTTCTACTAGGCCATCTCCCCTTCTTTGGTCCATTCCAAGCCTGGCTATTCTTGGGTCAAGTTTCTGAGTTTGCCCACAAAGCCACCTTCCTGCTAGGGACCACAGTGCTGAGCAGAACTTTTCAATCAAGAGGTCTTCACTCCCCCATTCCCAGAGATGAACTGCTTCTGGCTGTCATACCCACACAAGGCCTTACAAATCCTGCTCCTGCTAGGCTCCTCTAGGGCTCATTTATTACTCTATGCTCCAGACCTGTTTCTTCCTCCAAGAAATCCTAACTGTATTTATCTTCTTTTAAATTTTTTTCCTTTATTATTATTATTTATTACAATTTATTCACTTTGTATTTTGACTGCAGCTCTCTCCGTCTCTTCTCCCCACCGTATCCCTCCCCTAGTCCACTGATAGGAGAGGTCCTCTCCTCTTACTATCTGACCCTAGCCTATCAGGTCTCATCAGGTCTGTCTTGATCCTCTTTCTCTGTGGCATGATAAGGCCACCTCATCATGGGGAGGTGATCAAAGAGCAGGCAACCGAGTCCATGCCAGTGAGTGCCCCTGATCCCCTTACTAGGGTACCCACATGGAGACTGAGCTGCTCATCGTCTACATCTGAGCAGGAGGTCTAGGTCCCTTCCATGCATGGTCCTTGGTTGATTCATCAGTCTCTGCAGGGGTCCCTGGGCCAGATTTTTTTTGGCTCTGTTGGTCTCCTTGTGGAGCTCCTGTCACCTCCAAGTATTTCTATCTCCCCCTTCTTTCATAAGATTCCCTGCACTCTTCCCAAAGTTTGGCTATGAGTCTCAGCATCTGCTTTGATACCCTGATTGGTAGAATCTTTCAGAGGCCCTCTGTGTTAGGCTGGTTGTGCTCTTCTTGATTGGGAAAATAGAATTTAAGTCCAAAACAAAACAAGGTCTGCAAAGGTAACGTAATTATGATGTAGGCAGACAATTTGGACAAAATGTTGCAGTATCCCTCAGTGTCTGAATGCATGTCAGGAACAAAATCACCCACTGAATGAGCATGAGCCAAGGATACTCCACAAGTCAATAAACATAAAAACAAGAGGACCAGCAGGTCAGTTCGTCCTTTGAATGATTTTATTTGCATTTACAAAAGAAGTTGACAGCATGCATATTACAGGATGCTGAATTCCCTGTGGAGGCAAACATGATCCAGCTCAGTACTCTTGAAACATGGGCTAGGTAGTGGCTTCCAGGCTGGACTTTTTGCATGCTAGTGTCTGTCCTTCAATACTGTGTGGGCCAGCAACTACAGACCTCCAGGAGAAAACTCTGAATGATAGTGCATCTGCAGAACACTTCAAAACACAGACTGGGGAATCAGGAAAACCACATGTTCATACATTCTGATCACTTCAGTAACCACAGAATTCCAGAGGGCTTCATACAGTGTACATATCTAGATTTCCTTAAAGGGCTTTCCTCAAAGAACAACAGAACCTCCATGTATTAACCATGGCAGCTTGCAGGGTTTCCTTCCTGCAAGATTATCACATACTAATAAGGTATGTCCCAACTACAGAAAAATGCTGTGGACAGGGGCTCTCAGACCAGATCCCTGCTACCAATCTACAGTGTGCAGGGAGCAAATAACCCTATGAGGCTCCTTTCTCTGTCTCAGCAAAACAGACTTGGACTGGACCTTACTGCCTCATACTGGTTTGTTGTGACAGTGACATAAGGTGAGGGGTGAATGGAAGGAAAGTTGTATGAGTCAAGAGAAAGCCATTATCAGACCGTGCCTGTCCCCAGCTAAGGTTAACTCCTCCTGGGAGCACTTGTGGAGCAGTTGAAGGTGCTAATACTTTCTGGATGAAGTGTAGCCAGAGAACTGGCATCCAACAAATACTTTGTATCCATGCTGCTTTGCACTTGGTTAAAGACCCCAGGGTCATGATTTTCCTGGGGTTTGCTTCCTTCATTTTACAGACAAGGAAGAGGACAGTAAGAGTTTAAACAGTATCTCTAAGGTCATGTGATCTGAAGAGAGCTGGATCAAAATGGAAGTTTCCCTGAGCTCAGGCCTAATATCCACTTACCACCTTGCCCTGTCTTTTCAAGCTAGGCTGGAGAGATCTGCTCTCACTCTAGGAAGAGTTAACCTCACACCTACTGTCAGGAGTAGTCTTATCTAGATGCTAATTCGATCTATTGCTCACTGGCTTGGGCATTGGGGTTGCCGTCAGCATGCGTTTTCAGAGCGTTTTGGCCCTTTTGTTGCCTGCATTTGCATCTTTATATCCCACAAAGTTCACTGACTTTTTACTTTAGCTGAAGACAAACCTTCATTAACCTGCTGTTAGCAGAAGCTTGGAGATCCAGGTTCTTGCCAGTCTTGTCCCCTGTGGTCAGGGCCTTACTTCTCAACCAAGGATGACAAGGTCCAGTAGGACTCCAACGCCTGTGGAGTTGGCGAGTAGGGTTGGTGAGTAGAAATACAGAGATTTGACTCCTTGTGGGATTCTATTCTCTGAAGACTAGAGAACATTGTAGCTAGCTGTGCCTAAGATTTGGGCACTTGGTATATATTTGTCAACTGCATCTCACAGTCTGAGGCATCTTTTGTCCAAAGCCCTTTGCAGAGTCCTGTATGTGGGGTTACAAAATAAGGGTAACTTTGAGGATCAATATTGGGGGAAGGGAAAAATCATGGACACACTCTAGAAGTAAGCCTTGTTCTCTAGACTCTTCTTCTCAAACTTTTGCTTGAGCTCAGAGACCAGAGAGGACTGGACGGGGACTCCCACAGGCTTGGGTGTGGGTAACTGTTGGGGTGCTTGTGGGGTAAGGGATCCAGAGACAGTTGGCACTGTCTGTTGGGCAACTGTGCTGGATGCCATTTTGGGGGGTGGCGGGAGAGCTGGTGCTGTGGGGAGCACTGTGATTCCTGCTCTGCTGTTATTGCAGTTCTCATTGGGAGGATCATCTTTGAGTATAAACTTGTTAGCAGCCTTGGTCCTCCTGAATTTGAGCCACTCTATGCGAACAGTGTGGGGCGCAGGGCTGGGCCTTCTACGGAGAACTCGCCGCACAGGCAGGACCTTGTTGGACTTCTTGTTCCGCCAGAAGGTGGCTGTGGAGATGATCACGGTTATGGCCACAACAATGGCCATGACACCAGCTAACACACCCACAGCCTTCATGGGATTGTCCTTGGTCTGTATCAGGAAAGCAGCCATGGAGCCTCGGGACAGCGTCTGGAAGAGAAATTCACCCTTCATTCAACTGCTTCCTCCTCTTCCCTGGATGACAGTGATTGTATGAGTTTCCCTGAACCTGAGAGGTTTAGTATCTTGCTCCAAGGCAAGAGAACCTCAGGCAAACTAAAAATGAGACAAACCACAATAACCCTTTTCAGATTTCAAAGTTCTGCTTTCCTGGAGTGTTTCTTTGAAACAGCAGAATATTGCTTGTCTTTGATTACAGGGAGGCCAGCAAAACCAAGTGAACCAGAAACCTCTTAAGAGATGAGTTCCTTCCAGACACTGAGCTGAGAACTACACATAATGATTTTACTTCTACTTTCCAGCACAGGAAAGGTAATGGAGGCTTGGATAGCCCAGAGTCATGCCACTAGTTAAGACTGAAACTAGAATTTCAATTTTATTTGCAAGTCTGTGAGTTTGAGTTCACAGAAATTGCATAATAGGATTCAGTATCCTTTGGCAGACCACAGCCTTGTACTCACCTCTGGGTCTGTGATGTCGATCTTAAGTAAGGCTGTTGTGCTGAAAGATGGGGAGCCCCGGTCCTTGGCCTGCACCTGCAGGGACCATGTGTAGTCCCCACTGGGTGTGAAGTTGTGTAGGGCCTCTAAGGAGCGGATGGAATTCTTAAGCCTGATTTCCCCGGTGTGTGTATCAATGTCAAATACATTGGCTGGCTCTGCACGGGTGATGGAGTAATCCACCAAGTTGTTTGGCTCCTCTGCATCCTGGTCTGTGGCCTGGGAGGCGGGGGGATGGCACTTGGGAAGATATCCATGCACATTGGCTAAATGAGTATATAAAGTGGGGCTTTCTGGGTTGATGGGAAAGGATTCCATACCTATTTGCAGTAGATGGAGTTAGGGAAAGAGAATGAATGTACTACTCCGAGCCATGGTCAGTGTTAGGCCCTGCCCTGTGCTGCGGCTTCACTCCCAGAATAAGTCTATAGAGTGGGGTTTAGTGACTCCTTATTATATATGCAAAGATGAAAGCTTGGGTCCAGGATGAAGCGGAAGGGGGATACCTGGCATTCAAACAGGTCTGTTGGAATTCAGAACGCATGCCTTCTCTGCATTGATAAGATAATGCGCTGTGGGAATAACATGCTTTGAAGGCAGGCATGTCAGTTCCATGAATTCAGGCAAACCCAACACACAGGCCCTCTGAACATGAGGTGTTTCATTAGTGATACCTTTTTTCTTAGGGGAGTTTTCTATTTGGGGTGGAGAAGAAGCTATGTAAAATATCATGTAGTCCATTGCCCTTAGCAGGATACAATTATTTTAAGTTAAATTTGTATGGCCCAATCGGAGGTGCTCAGCTGCCTCTGAAACCCACCTCAATTTTCACTGGGGTCCCCAGCACCATTGTCTTCTCCTGGATGCTCTGTACAAACTGGGGGTAATGGTCATTGACATCCAACAGAGTGACAAACACCTCAGCCAGGCTGTACCTCCCATCCATATCTTCTGCCTTCACATAAAAGTTGAACCTTGAAGTGCTCTCAGCATCTAGGGTGGCCCAGGGCTGAGTATAGATAAGCCCCGTGGATGGGTGAATCAAGAACCTGCCAGATACAGAAGGCGGAAAGCCTGGGGACTCATGCATACATGTGCATTCATGTCCCTGCCTACACACACATTCATTCCTGCAGTTACAAGATGCATCCAAAGTCCTCAATGAGACATTGGATAGCTTCTCCAAGCATCCCACCTGCTCCTCTCCCATCCTTATGGGCTGACTCTAGGGGACAGATGCAGCTGTTGATTATTGAGTTCAACAACCCAAATCATAGCCCATACTCCTTACCCCTGTCCTGTCACAGCCACACCCCACACCCATCTTATTCCTGCTCACCTGCCTTTTGAGGTCACTACCTATGCTCCAGGCTGTGACCACAGCGTTCTCTTTTTCCTGTCACCTCAGTAGAGTGTCCCTTATCTTCACCTCAGGCTATCCATGGTTTACTTTCTTTCCTTATTCTGTACCCTGGGATGCTTACATTCCTAATTTAGCTCTTATCCTTTTCCAGGTGGTTCTTGCCACAAGCAGAGACTCCCTTCACCCAAAGCCCCATAAACTCCTTGCCTGCAGCTTTGTCTGGGGTTCTGGATCTACTTACAGGTCTGACCCGGACCCATAGATGGAATACTGGACTTCGCCCCATGGTCCTGTATCTGGATCCACAGCCTGGAAAAACCAGAAAGCTCCTAATGGCACCAGCACTGTGGTGAGGCATGGCAGTTCCTGTAGCTGAAGGCAGCTCACAGTGGAAATATGGCGGAGCCTAGCATGTGTCCAGCTGGGGAGAAAGTGGCCTGTAGGCTGCATCCTAGTTTTCTTCTGGGAGGTGTCAAATATAAGAGAACCCAAAAGTCTTAAATCTGGAAGATATTGGTTCTGCTTTCATAAATGTAGGGGAGAGAGGGATGGAATTCAGGTCCCGTGCTTGGGGTTTGCACATATATCCCGCTTATAACTAGTAGGAAGTGGCCAAGCTGCTTCTATAACACATGGCAAAGATAAGAATATACAGCCTTATGAGCAGATGATAAGAGACGCTGCCTTCTGCCATGGTGTAATAGTCCTCCCTCATCTGCTGCATAAGAAGTGAGGGAAGACACAGCCTACCATTAGGTGAAGAATCAGAGACTAGAAGGGGCACACCGAATGACTGTAGATCTTGTGAGCCAGTCCCCAACCTACTGTGACAGCCACCACACTGGAGCCCCCTGGGGCATTCTCTGGAATCCTGGCAATGTAGTACTGAGAGGTGAACTTGGGGACGTTGTCATTGGTGTCCAGAAGCTGGATTACAATGTCTGCTGTGGAACTGAACTTCTCCGGGGTATTCACTTCAATGGCCAGGAGCTAGAGAAAGACCCAGAAAAACTTTTGTCTGGGTGGGCAGTTATCCCACTAAGAGCCCACTGTCACCTCCCTCCTTAGACCCGGCCTTACAACCATGTGCTCATCTCTCCATCTTTTGTTGCTGTTGTGTTGCACCTTTTCGGAGTTCTGGTTCTTATTACATTCTTCAGCCTTAAATTTACAATCCTTCTTCCTCAGCCTTCTGACTGCTACGATTACATGCATGTAGCACCACATCCATCGTGTACCCCATCGTTTCTACGTCTCCTGGGGTGTCATCCCTGCTCCCATTTTCACAGTCTCACATCATCCCACCCTCATGAGTCTGAAATGCTAAAGTCCTTATCACTCTCATTGGTATTTGTACTTGGGCCTGGGATAGCTACTGTTGTTTTCTAGTTCTTTGGATCTACATATTTCTTTGCAATGCAGTTGTTCCTATACATTTATTTTTCTGGATACAAACCAGTATAGTTTACAAGGTTTATTAAGTTTTCTCACCAAAGGAAATTCTAGGTAAGGGTTAACTTGGCTTGACTAGACAAAGTGGCACATGAGTACTATCTCAGTACTCAGGACATGGAGGCAGGGAGATTGTGAGTTTGAGGTCAGCCTGGGCTACACAGTGAGCTCCAAGTTAGCCTGGGCTATATGGCAAGACTCTGTGTTAAACAAACAAACAAAAAAACAAATAAAAAAACACAACCAAAAACTACAATGAAAAAGCTTGAGTTAGGTGGGATGGCATTAAAGTCTTCATTGTCTTAAGGAGGATTCAAATTTTTAAAGCCGGGAACACCCTCCTATCCTTTCCTTCCTTAGATCCTTCTGTGAAAACTTGCATTTTTTTAATTTAACTTTTGCATATTTCTCATTAGGGTAATTCATATGAATGTTGCTTTAGTTTCTTTTGTGAAAGTGTTGTTTATTCCATTATATTCACATTCTCTACCCCTCTTCACTCCATGAGGAAACCATTGTGTTTGGAGTGGTGACTCTGTGTTGTGGTTTTTCTTTATTTATGAGTCTTCCAATTATTTCTCTTAGATTTTTCTAAGAAAATAATCCCATGTTTTCTAACAAAACTATACTCCTCTTAGCTCCCCTTTTCGAAACATGGCAAACTATATTGGTAACGTACTCTTGACTCCCCATTCCTTACATTCCCGAGCCAGAGGTGGTTTAGAAGCTGGCACCTCATTAAGGACCAGGCTATGAGCACTTTGCAGAAGCTGGGGGTAAGGACATCTCCACCCCCACCCTCAACCTAACTCCAGTTTTGCACATGCGTGCAAGATAGGCAGGGACCCTTTTGGCTGAATAGAACCACTCAGGGATGGGGGTCACAGTGATCCCCCCACACTGAATTCAGACAGTGGTGTGAGCTAGCCTACTCCCAATCCAACTTTCCATTCATGGCAGCGTGAAGCATGGCCTACCTTGAAGGTTAACAACTTAGACTTTTCAAAGTCAATGGCGGCCGAGTTTTCCACTATGATGGTGACTTGAGCTTCATTCAGTACTGTCTGTGGCACCACACGGAAGATGCCTCCAGGTCCCACCAGCCTTAAGTTGAATTTGGCATTGGCTCCCTGGGCAGTGTAGTTTGAAGAGAGGAAATAAAAGACAAATGAGAATAGAAATGCATTATATATTTGGGCTAGGGGAAGAGCCCTTACATACCCTAAGCAGTAATAGTCTTTGTAGAGGTGAGTTGATTAAGGATCAGACTTAGCAGCACGTGATGATTAAGCAAGGTAAGACATGAAGAAGGCCTGGTCTGTGCTGAGCATGGGAGGAGGCAGAGACATTTACAGATGTGCAGATCTGACACTGAGAAAAATCAGATGCTGAGGCCTTTTTTCTTTTTTTTTTTTTTTCTTTTTGTCCTGGTTAATTACTTTGTAACTGATTATGACTTTCTAATCAGATAGTATGGGACTGACTGCCATCCCTCTGCTACCTTTTAGTTGAACCATATTGTTTTATTCCTTTTGTAACTTCCCTGATCCCTCTCACTGAAACAAACATTGATGCAGACCCAGTTTCAAAGGCACAGGGACACACCTGGTCAGAGTCATTGACAGTGATCTTGAGCCCACGAAGGATCTCCCCCTGGGGTGGGTGCTCATACATGGATATTTCAAACTTGTTCTGGGGCCCATTCTCTCCATAGAAGGTTGGAGGGTGGTTGTTGAGGTCCACAATCCTGATGGTGACTGGGACCATGGCCTGAGCGCCTGGGCTTCCTGGAGAGCTGATCTCCATCACCTTCAATGGAAACAGATGGCTATGGTTGTGGGGCAGACAGACTGTTACTGGTCCCAAGAATGTTTCCTCCTGGTATTCATACCCTGGTAATTCCTCTCTTTAAGTGTGGCCTGGCTTGACAAATTGCTTTTGACTGACAGCTTGGTTAGGTTTCAAGAGATTATAATTCCATTCTGCTAGCTGAATTTCTCTTTCCCAAGGCTTTTATGAAGCAGACTGCTATGCTAGAGAGTCTAAGGATGGTATAAGGAGCTAATTGTAACCCATACACAACAGCTACCAAGCAACTGAGTTATAAAAAAAAAAAAAGCGAACCAGACAGCCAATCCTTCCCCAGCTAAGCCTCAAGTGAGATCCCAGTCCTTACTACCTGACTGCAGCTACGTGAATGACTTGGAATCCAAGATCCAGCCACGCTGGACCTGGACTCCCTACTCCACACACTGCATGAGATGAATGTACACTGTCTCAAGCCACTAAGTTTGCGGTGATTTCTCACAAAGTATTAGATAACTCATATAGGCTGTAAAACCAAGACTGAGTGTTCATATGCACCCCACAAAACAAACATCCTCTTTCCAGGGCCCCTTTCCTGTGTTATATAAGGATGTCCTGCTTCTAAGAAGATATCCTAAAACAGTGTTTCTCCATCTTCCCAGTGCTGGGACACTTTAATACATCTCCTTATGTTCTGATGACCCCAACCCCAAATTTTTTTTTGCTGCTACTTCATAACTAATTTTGCTACTGTTATGAACTGTAATGTAAATATTTGTGTTTTCCCATTGTAAAAGACCATTGTATTTTGGGAATCATGACCCACAAGTTGAGAACTACTGCTCTAAAATGACCCTCCTAGTCTCCATTCCACACCTGTCTGCCGCTCATTCCTTCTCAGAAGCCTTTGCATGCTATTCCTCTTTCCTGTCCCTTTTAGTTCTTACCCATTCCTATTTAGATTTTTTACACACACTTCCACACTGAATCTAGCGCTACCACCTTAGCTTGAGAGGCTCAGGTCCCTTGGTTATGTGACTTAGTCCTTGGCAAATTCTCACTGATTTCTCCAGTCCCTGCTGATTCCTCCACCTGCTCCCCACAGCCTCCTCTCCCTTAGCCTCTGATGCTCCGCAGATGTAGACTTTGCCAACGGCTCCTCTCTTGACACTACCATCCTCCAGGGGGAATATCTTGTTCCTTCCACGCCTCTCCTAGTTCTGCTTTAGTTGATGTCACAGAACACCCTGACTAAAAGAAACCTGGGAGAGAAAGGGGTTTATTCTCGCTTATTGTTTCAGGTAGTTAAATCACTGCTGGGAAGTTACATTAGCAGCTGGTCACATCACGTTCACAGTCAAGAGTGAAAGGAGTGTATGAGCTCATGTTGCTGGCTTGCTCCTGTTTAGAACACATCTAGCTTTCTCTTTCTCTACTTGTGTTGAGTCCAGGGCCAAGGCAGTAAAATTACGCTCCTTCTGCATTGCCATTAATCCTGCTCGTCTCTCTTTGCGAGTGTTCGCTGCAGCCTGATGTAGGTGTTCTGTGCAGTAACATTTCAGTCCCTCCCCAGACTGAGCCCTTGGGTCTTAGCTCTTTTGTTGCTCTCCAGGACTGGAGACTGGGTGGGACAAGCTGAAATAACGTGGTGTCACCTGTACATGAATCTCATACACCTCTTTCCGAAGCTGGGCAGGGCTCTGAAGGACGGAGATGGCTCCAGATGTCTCATTAATTTCAAAGGCGCCATCACTCTCTGTCACAGAAAAATGGCCTGCAGTTTAGCACAAGGGCACAGGTAGGGGAGTAATACCACATATTCCTCTGGCCTCTCAGGGAGGGCTTTAGTCCTCATAGATTGTAATTCTATCCACCATCTGTTTCTTACCCTCTCAGAGGGGCCAAGGAACTCGTCTAAGGTCCCTCAGCCATTAAAGATCTGGACTTGAACTTTTTCCCAGCCTTTTCTTATACACAATAGTGTGTGTGTGCATGTGTGTGTGTGTGTGTGTGTGTGTGTGTGTCTGTGTCTGTGTCTGTGTCTGTGTGTATTTGTATAAAGGGAAACAAGAAGAGCTAAGGAGAGAAGGAGATAAGAAAAGGAAGATGAAGAGAGGGGAATGGAAGGAGGGGGAGAAAAGGACAGAAAGGAGAAGGAGCAGATGTAGGGTATAAAGGAGAGGTGAGGAGGGGCATGGGGTGAGTGTGCTGTAACTGGGGGATGGTTTCAGAGGGGGTGGGGAGGGAAGACACCTTGAAAGAGTGTCATTCAATTATCTGCTCAAGTCAAAAAAAAAAGAAAAAGGGTGAGGACAAAACATAGCAATCCTAAAAGTGTGAGAAATGTTGCTGCTCATGCTACTGGTGATTGTGTCCAGGGCAAAGAGAGAGAGAGAGTGTACAGGGCTCTCAGGAACTGGCCTGTTCTCTCTCACTGGGTATAATGACAAGCAGGTATAGAGCAAAGTTGTCATTTGAGGGGACTGGCCTCACCCCTGCTCCCAGCTTCTTGTCATCCTGGTCCCATAGGTGAGGAGACCAGGTTCCAGTTGCCCAGAATCAGAGCTGTGGCAGAGAGTTGCCCTTACTTACCGTTCAAGAGCCTGTAGAGGATGCGGTTGGGTTTGCCTCGGTCCCCGTCTATGGCAACCACCGTCAGCACCTCGGAGCCCTTGGAGAACAGGGGCCGCTGTCTGAGGCTGATGATGAGGTAGGTATTTCCTCTAACCCAACCCTGCCGGGTCATGGGGATATCATCCCACTCAGGAAAAGAGCTAGGCTTTGGGTGGCTCTGAAGGTAACCCTGCTGTGACCTGCTTAGGGCTTGCTGCACCTGGCCTAAGGGAACCATCTGAGTGAACTTCACCACACCCTTCCCCCCCCCCCCCCCCATCAAAACCCTTGGCCTCCTAACTGATTCCTAGCAAGCCTCTCTGGGGTGACGCTGGCTAGCATGTGGTGAGTCCAGCGATCCCCTGAGAGCCACACAAGGAACACACTCACCGGAAGGGTGTCCTCATATACATAACCGTAGTAAGGTGTGCCCACGAAAATAGGGGCCGTGTCTTGAACATCTTCCACATTGATGGTGACGGTGGTGATGGCTGAGAACGTCACATCAGCCCCTCGGAGCCTGCCCCCACCATCCTGGGAAGAAATTGGCCAAAGAAAGGTGAAGACAAGCCGGCCTCAGGGTAACAGGCTCCACTTGAATGAGACTCCTGCCACTTCCTGGCTGTGAACCCAGCTGGCCCCTTTCAGTGTCTGTTTGCTTTTGGGTCTCTGGAGTCTATTCTCCTTTCTAAGCAGTGTTGGGCACGCCAAAGAAATGATGCATGGAAGTTTTAAGTCGGGTGTCTGGCAGATTTCTTTGAATACAGGGTTAATTAACTCTCCAGGTACGTTATGTGTAATAGTGCCAAAGGAGAAGGTATCAGACCTAAATTCCTGCTCTTAGCTGGAAACCAAGCCTCAAGCAACTCCTAAGACTCTTCCACATGTCCAGTCTATGCTAGGGCCCAGGGGGTCCTGGAAACATGACTTGGGCCTTCCTCTGTTTAAGAGTAAAGGAACTGAGCAGCTAGCAGGTAGAGTGGCACCCAGCCTCCTGGTACAGACCAGGAAGGTGGCCTATGGCAAAGCAATGATCTGAAAGGCAGCTTCCTGCAGAAGAATCCAACAGGCCTAATGGGACAGCTGGCTTTTCCTTTTCCCTGGGGCAAGAAGCTTGGGAGAGCACCTGCTGACTCTCAACTTCCCACCAAGTGCTTTACAAACTCAAGTGAGGGGTGTCACTACACTTCAAAAATTGGCACTTGAGGAAACTGGGCTGAGAGAAGGTAGTCTTTGGCACAGCAAGGAATAGCCGCAAGAGCCAGCCTAGCCAGTGAGAGGGAGGCAGTGGAGGTTATAAGAGGGACACAAATCTCTGTGTTATGACTATCTAGGCTGTGAAGGGACCTAACTGTTAAGTTTCTAGGCAGTCATATGGCATCCCCCAGAAGGAAATGTGGCCTCTCTAGCCTAAAGACACCAGCCTTCCTAGAATATGTGTTCAGGCAGAAGAAATTGCACAGCTGCCTCCTGGATCCTCTTTGCCCACATTATGTCTCCTGCTCTTAAAAATACGCACTCCTTCAGAGAACCTCACTGTGCTCTAACCTAGCAAAGACTGAAGTTACTACTGGATGTTCCCACTATATCTTCTTTTGTTACCTTGGCAACCACAGTGACAAAATGAGCCCTCGACTTCTCATAGTCCAGTGTGGCCCCAGCCTGGAGGCGCAGCACACCGCTGTGGCGGTCCATGGTGAACTTGGAGGAGTGTAGGTTCTGTAAAATTACGGAACAGCTGAACTCGGGGAGGAGCCAGGCCACACCAGGAGTTCTTGCTCTGACAAGTGAGGGATTCATTTGACTTCTTTGCAGAAACTCTGGCTTCCAGGTTTAGTTTCCAAGTTCAAGACCCCTGCCTGTATGAACTCAAGGTTTTCCTTCATCAGTATTTCTCAGTCTTTCTACACCTTCAGTCAAAACCAGCTCATTCCGTCCCAGAAAAACCTGCTCACTTGTAGCAGTAAGAAACATTTAAAGAATGTTCTGACATGGTTGAAGCTGAGGCGTAAGTGTAGTAGTGAAAGAGAGAGATCTGGGGACCTTTCAACCATAACAGGTAAATGGCTGTGGAAATTATGTGTAGTATCTAACAGGAGATGGGGAGTAATCAGGAACAGGCCATAAAAGCATGTGCCTCAGCTCTTCCAGTTGGGGAAGGCCAGGAAATAGGCTCCAGATACTGGAATGAGAGCTTTACACATGTTTAATCCTCATGATGGTTGAATAAGCAAACCAATGCTTCTCTTCCCCATCTTACACATTAAAAAGCTCAAGTAGAAGAGTTAAGAAGTGTGTTGGAAGAATATGGGTGGTCGGTGTGTGTTTGTGGGCAAGGGTCTCTAGTTGCTATGAGTTCAGAGGATTTCTCTAGAACCAGTAGTTTTAGCCATGATGCTATATTTCTTTGAGAATCCTTAGAGCAGTTGAGCAAATATGGAAAGAAGAGGAATTGCTACAAAAACAGCAGCCATGTGAGGGTGGACAGCTGCTCCTGGGAGACCAAGAGAAGGCAGAGGTTTGGAGAGAAGCCTCCATCTTTGCCAACACAGCAAAAATGGATAGGAGTGAGGGCTGGGGTATCCTGGCTTTCTTTTTGGCATAGATCCTTCTCCTCTTTCCTATTGACCTCTTGCATCCTGTGTGGGTTCTAAGTAGCCACAATTTCTTTAAGGAAAGGAGTGGGGAGAGTAGAGAGCTGAGGGTACTAGAATCCTAGAGAGAGGAAGGGGCTGGTCCAACTCTGAGGAAGCCAAGATGGATCTACTAGGGGAAAAGGTCTTTTATCTCTTTTTGGTCTTCAACACTGTGGGGTACCCTTGAGAACAGAACAGAAACACTGTTGAGCATGTGGGGGCTAGCTGGTGATGGAGGGGGGGACCCAGATGTCCTCTCCATCTCAAGGCCCTGGCTGCATCCTGTGTGTCCCAGGATGTTACCTGTAGGAAGTAGCTGACACTGCCTCCAGAGCCCGTATCCTTGTCCTCTGCATGGACCTTAAAGATGCTGCTCCCAGCAGGTATGTTCTACGGGTCACATACAGAGAAAGGTCAGTGTTCATGACAAGACCATGGGCCAGAGGCATGGGGGCCATGGACCAGAGGGATCAGCAAGTGACTATAGAATGGTGAGGAGGCGGTGACAAAGTGCCCAGCAGAAATAGAAAGGCACAAGGACAGAAGCGGAGGGAGCGGATACAAGGAAAAAGGAGGAAAAGGAGGTGGGACAGGAAGTCAGAGATGTCCTCAAAGGGAGAGTGAGAAGCAAAAACTAGGCCCCTAAGGGCTAAAGATTTAAATATGAAGTACTCCTTTATAAACAAAGACATAGCTCATAAATGCAGACATATTCAGGACCATAAACATGGACCTCTTCAGGATCACCTGAGAACACACACACACAGTTTACAGCAAGATGGAGTATCTTCCACCCCTGGCTTGACTTAGAAAACAAGTTTTGATATGTGTTTGTGAATGTGTGTGTGCACTTGTGCACATGCTACAGCCCTTATATGCAGGTCAGAGGACAACTTGCAAGAGCTGATTCTCTCTTTCCACCTTGTAGGTCTTGGGGGTCAAACTCAGATGGTCAAGCTTGTTGGCAAATGCCTTTACCCACCCACCTATCTGAGTGGCCCCTTGGTGAACATTAGAAAGGAGACAATTGTTCTCTTGCATCATAGAGCAGAAGACAAACAAGGTGACCTTTTAGAGTTTTTTGTTTGTTTGCTTGTTTATTTGTTTTTGGAAAGATAACAAATGAGTGGCGGCTGTTCTTCCAGAGAATCTGGGTTCGATTCCCAGGACCCACATAGTGGTTCATAATCATCTGTAACACTGGCCTCCTCAGGCACTGCACACACGTGGGGCACAGACATACATTCAGGCAAAACACTTAATGCTTATAAAAATAAACAATAAAAATTTTTAAAGAGTTTATGTGAGTGACCCAGTACAGTAACTTCAAATTTTTCACTCTGTCTTAAGGATTCTTTTTGTAATAGGGAAAAACTTAGGGCCTCAAGCATTATTGGCTAGTTTCTATGTCACTGAACTTTACCCCCAGTCTGGAGACAGAAGGATCTCAGGTATATACAGGAGGACCAGAATTCAAGCTCATCCTTGCTACATATTAGAGGTGTCTCAAAAACAAAAAGCCAAAAATCGTTTGGTTTTGGTGACCCCTTTTGGCGACACTCTTGCTTCCCAAGTAAAATGTCTACAGATATGTGTCTCCACATCCAGCTTGAAAAAAAAATCAAAATTAAAGTTGGAAACCATGTCTGTATGAGGCTGGAAAAACAGCTCAGTGGTTTAGAGCGCTTGTTCTGGGTGCAGTTACCAACATCCACATGGCAGCTAAGAATCATCCGTAACCCCACTTTCAGGAGACCTGACCCCTTCTTCTGGCCTGTGCAGGCACTGTGCACGTGGTGGGCATGCAGTCACACACACAGGCAATAAATACGTAAATGTTTTTTAAAAGCTATACCTAATGGCTGAAATTTCTTATGGCAGCAGAAATTTAAAGCACAAGTATCCAGATATAAGGGAATTCTTTGTTCTATCTGTGTATGATGAGCTGCTCACTTGATAGAAGCTATTAAAATGATGCTGATTACCTAAGCTTGACAATGAAGGAAAAAAAAAATTGTTCCGTTATAGGAAAATAAAAAAAAAACAGGATACAGAAAGCATATTTTTAGAATCACAATTATGTCAAACAAAAGGCATAAAAAACTAATGATCACACATATAAAATATTAAAAATAAATAAACCAAAGTTTAGAGAGGTCTCAAAGTAGGGGAGTGATAATAGCTTTAAAATGCATTAGACATTTCTATAATAACTATGCATTTACAATTATAGTGAAAATAGCAAATGGGTGCATTGAGTAATGGACGGGTGTGCTATACTCTGAGCCTTGGTCCCTTGCATAAATCATAGGAAAGACTTGTGGTTAGGCCATGGGCCGAAGTAGGAGCTTTGTTCCTTTCCAGGGGTCCCTCACTCACCTCTGGAACCAGGATGATGTAAGGCTCCTGGATGAACCTGGGTGGCTCATCATTGGCATCTGTCACCAGTATCACAACTTTCTCAGCCACCTGAAGGTCAGAAGTTGGGGCAGGGAGACCTTTTTAGGAGATACAAAAGATGGCCTCTAAAACCCCCAGATGTATATTTCATATCTCTATCTCTCCCTCTCTCCCTCCCTTCCTCTTTCCTTTCCTCCTTCCCTCCTTCCTTCCTCCCTCCTTCTTTCCATCCTGCTTTTGTTTATTCATGCAACAAATATTCTTAAGCAACCTATTAATAACAAGCAATTTGTTCCACCCTAGAGACAGAGGAACTTTTGATGGTACATTCTCAGGGACCACAGTGGCTTAGATATGGGCCGGAATCAGCACATAGAGATACCATTTAGAATGAAAAATGTAACATACAAGTCCCGAAAGCAATGCCCTAAATAGAACCACCCGAGATATTATGTGCCTATGGCCTGTGCCAACATGTCTTTTGTGTTGAAGGCTGCATCCACAGGCCCTGCAAGGAGCCTGAACTGTGGAGCTGGACAGCTGGGAGCTTCTGGGACAGAAGTCCTCAATCCTTCACCACAGAGTTTTCCAGAGAGAAGAGTCAGAAACAAGCCACAGAGTAGGGGTCAATGTGCAGAGCCTAGAGGTGATGGCCACACCGGGAGTTCAGAGTACAAGAGAGTCTGGCTGGATGCTTGGCAGGATGGATGGGAGAGGAGCACTGGGAGAGGCAGATGGCACCTGACAGGGAGGCCTTGCAGGGCAACTTGGATTTCATCCTGAGGGAGATGAGTGCCAGCTGTCAGCGCGTTCACAACTGGAGAGCAGCCAGATCTACGTTTCACAGTGAAAGTCATGGCAGCACTCCGAATGCGGATTGGGTGGTCAGTTAGCCCCTGAGGCCTGCTGTAATCATGTCAACACTGAAGTGGCTTGCAGAAAGTAGTTGTTGTGGGAGTTGGGGAGAGGAGGGGGAACACCTGGCACCCAGGGCCAAGAGCCAGCAATGATAGATGCTGGCAGATGGGGAGTGAACAGACAGCTTTGGGAAGATGTAGGTAAGACCTGTGTGAAGCGACGCTGAGAGGCCTTGATCTCTGCTTGTCTCTTTCCTTCTTTCACCTATGGCCTCACTGTGCCCCTCGCACGTGGTCACCTTTATTAGGCTTTCACTGTCCTGGGCTTGCTTCGATCAGGGAGCCCCACATCTGGAAGAGGAACTATGTCCCTTTCAGGCTGGGAAACTGTATGATGAAGGCTGACTCACCAGGTTCAGGCCATCTGAAATGCTGATGATGGCTTCGATCTCATCTTCCCTCTGCGAAGCAAAAGGATTGAGTGAGTGTCTAGATTCGGACAAGCTGGGAGCAGCTTAGACTTGAGGTTGTGGTAAGCTGTAGCGCCATCAGAGAAGGCTGTTCTGGGGAACCCAGGAGCTGAACAAGGTGATGCAAGGCCCATGAAGTTCCCTTTTGCCAGGTTTGGGTCTGTATTTGGGAGCACTCTGTGGGTCCAGATTCTCATAGTCCCAGAGGGTTTCTTGTGTCCCCAAGGGATGCTGTCCTGCTAGAAAGAGTGGTACCCTGCTGTAGCCAAGAGAGAAGTCTTCCTTACTTCGCTTTTCCTCTCCCCTCTCATGTCTCTCTATACCTCTCCATACTCCAGGATTTGGCAATGATCTATGTTCATGGTGTCCCAAGTGTTTCCTAAGACTTGGTGGGATCTCTAGGAGGTCACTAGATCCACATGTATGCAGGGCACTGTGCTGGCAGCAGTCTGTCCTCACTATAAAGTCCTCACCTCAGTGGTGAGTGCTCTTTTTCTCCCCAACCCCCCCTTCAACCCCTGCAGCTGACCTGTAGTTTGAAGGTTTTACTGTGGAACCAGAAACCCAGTAGCCTCACAGCTGAGATCAATTTATGTAGGCAAGTGGTGGAAAAGGAAACCTCATGCTCCAACATTCCGGGGTTCAAAGTGCTCAGCATCAGGGGTGTTTTCCAAAGTCAGATGCACTCACTCTCTCATACCCTGTGGCATTCCCTGTGTTTTGTGGGGCTTCTCCAAGGTCAGGCTTTAAAAACCCACTAGGGTAGGATTTTTAAAGCCTGACCTTGGGGGGTAGGAGGCTCTTTAAAAAATGTCTAAGAGCTTTTTGTTGTTGTTAAATATGTTTAAAGATAAGCACAGCTAACAGGTGCCATTGAAAGGATTACCACACTTCACCCTGGAAGAAGGAGGAAGTCTTTGCTAATGAGAATCAATCTAGGGGCAGAGCTGCAGTATGGTGGTCACCCTCTCCCTCATGTCCTTTTCCACAAAGAGCAACACAGAGGTATCTGAACACTAAGCCAGCAACAGCCCAATTCTCTCCTACACTTCTTTGTACCTCTCGGTCCAGCTCTTCCACCAGGGTTATGTTTCCAAAATTGGGATCAACGGAAAAGACACTTCTCGTGCTGGGGTCAAAGCTGATATGGTAGGAGATAGGATCTCCCTCAGGGTCAGTCCCATTTAGGGTGTACACATGCGAACCTGGAAGGAGACAAAGGGAATATCTGGAACCTGGGACCCAACTTTTCTGAAAATAGTGGATGCTCAGAGCATAATAATCCATAATCCATTCAATTATTAATATTCGGTGCCAAGGGGCCAGCCCCCAACCAAGCCTCACATCCGCTGCCTGCTTCCTGCTTCCTGCTTCATCTTTATTCCCAGAGCGATCAGATGTTATAATGAGCCACGTTACAGACTGTGATCTGTACTACAGCCTACGGAGAAGGTGTCTAACTGTACTGACGATCCCTGTCCTGGAATGACTTCTCTCCCAGAAGTTGAAACTGCGAGGGACCCTGGGATCAGGAGCCAAGGAGAGCAACGCATAGTCATTCAGTCTCCTCTTAATGAGGATACACGCTTTTCAGGTCTGAATGCAAGCATATCTGTTCCTCTGCTCACTTCCCAGGAACTACACAAACTGTAACAAAGTAGAGTACATGGCATCTCAGCTGGTTGAAGGTCCTGGGTTTAAATCCTAGACACAGTAGTCTTGTGCAGGCAAATGTCTTTGCCCAAAGTCACACCCTAAAGAGCAACAAGCACCCTACAACTGTGCTTCTGAGGGAGCCAGCCCATCCCATCTTTGGGAGACCCCAGCCCAGTCCCCAGGAGAGGTCCAGTTTGGGTCACCATAGCAGCAGTGACCTTCTTTTTTGCCATTACCCTGGGGCATTCAGAGCACAAACAGGGTACCCCTGGGAACCAACACTGTGTGGCATGGGCACGCCATAGGCTCCAGAGGAGTCCCGAGTGAGTAGTTTCACTGAGTAGTTTCTGGGGAGATTAGTTTCCCTCTAGGGAAAACTGTCTCTGGGAGACTGGGATGGCTGCTGTGGTCAAGGCTACTCTCTTACCTACAGGAGTGTCTTCTGGAAGGCTGAACAGGGCCATGTTTCCGTTGGTGCTGCCCACTCCATTGTCAAAGAAGTGAGGGGCAAAGTTGGCCTGGGCTACAAAAGAAAGAAAGAAAGAAAGAAAGAAAGAAAGAAAGAAAGAAAGAAA